GGGGCAGCAATCAGTCCATACCCTCTAATGAATCGCCGGTAGTACCCTGTTAAACCCAAGAAGCCTCGTAACTCCTTAACATTTTGAGGTCGGGGCCAATTTATCATGCTTGAGATCTTTTTCGGGTCTGCTGCTACAATGCCGTTTTTGACCACGTGCCCTAAATAGTGTACTTGTGTCTGTCCAAATGCGCATTTTGACTATGTCCTTATAGGGCAGCAAAACATAAAACAATAGAACAGTGTAAAGACAACTATGCCCTTATAGGGCGGCAAAACATAAAACAGCATATATAACACTTAAAAACATAATAAAATTTGGACTCACATAACTATTGTGGTCTCCACCTCCTATCTAACAACTAACATAAAACATCTACTCAGAAAAACATCATAAAACTAATTAATCTTCAACTAGTAGGATTTCTCTTATTAAGGGTCCAAAGTCAACCAGTATTTATCCCTATTCCTAGTTAGCTTGTTAGTATTGGTTTTAGTCAGTTTTCAAGTAGGAAAGCAAGGGGAAAGGGCTAGCTTACATTCCCCTCTTTGCCCATTAACATGTCTATCGCATAAAATGTTATTGTTTTGTTTTGTTTTATGTTTTTTTTTTTTTAATGGTGCTGCTGTTTATTCTAACGTATTGAAGGTTCTATTTTTTCATGCTCTTAGTGCTGATGCCAAGATTTGCTTGCTGGTGCTAACTCCAATAAGCGTTATCCACTTATATCCTCTTATTTATGTTGACTTCTTTTAAATTACTACTGCCTAGTGTTTTAAAAGGCATGGGAGGCGTACGCCTCCAGGCAAGGTGCCCCCAAAACACCCTGAGGCGTATGCCAGAGGCACTGACACCTCTGAAGCATACATCTCATACGCTTTTTTCATGAGGCGTGCTAGAGGTGTATGCCTCATGCGTCTCGTGCACACCTCATGTACAAAGATAGAAAAACAAAGAAAAAAGAAAAAAAAAAGGAAAGGAAAGGAAAGAAAGGGAAGGGAAAGAAAAAGAAAGAAAAGAAAAGGAAAGGGAAGGAAAGAAAAGATAAGGGGAAAGAAAATGGGCCTATTTGTGTTTGGGAGGCCCACTTTAAAAGATTTATAAAGAAAAACAAAACATTTTTTTTAAAAATAAAGAAAAATGAGATCCTCCTCCCTCTTCTCCCTCTTCCTTTTTCCTCCTCATCCCCCCTTCTCTTAAGTAAGCTATGCCTCTTACGTTTTGAGCTACGCCTCACGCCTCTAGGTAGTGGAACGCCTTGCGTCACGCCTAGGTGTTTTAAAACATTGTTACTGCCCTTATAATGCTCAGTGTACCAACCATACATTTTTCTTATCAATAACACCTAAGCTTTTTCATCGTCATCCTCTAAGCCTTGACCCCAACCATATAAGCTCAGCTAAATGAATCCTTTTTCACCATTCCATAAGTGATGGATTTCCCGGAATTTCATGGTTCCTAAAATCTGTCCCCAAGTTGTAACTCAATTTTAATTACTTTATTTCCATCTTCATCCCTTAAGTTCCAACACCCATGCATTCTGCTACTAATTCCACGTTTTGCCTCCTTTAGTTTTCCCTATTTGGATTTTAATAAAATAACAGCCCCTTGCTGCATTGACTCTCCTAAGTGGAATATGCGCTTTCATGTTGGACATGAGTCCGGCACTCCATGGATTTTTGAGGGCAGTTCTACGTACAATTTCCTCTTTTATTTTCCAGCTTGACATAAATTTAATAATGTACAAGATGAATGCCATCTTTTGTATCAAATGTTACATGGAAAATTAGTAATAAATGCAACATTTTATACCCCTTGTTGCAGGAATATATAGTATTAGAATTAAAAAAAAAAAACAGAATTGTTTTAATAGTATATAGTTTTCCATGGGCATTTCCATGAATTCATGTTTTCTTATCTTTCTGAGTCAGACTCTTGGACACGTGTTGGGTTCAAATTTCCATTTTTACGTCCTTGCAACACAGCTATTAGAGTTTTGATTTTTTTTTTTTTTTTTTTGTAAATCTTACAATTTAACCTGTTCTCAGCCACCTTAAATCCTCACCAATGGACCTGCTATCATCTTTCAAGATCATTCTGAATATGAAAAAAGAAGTTTGTCACTCATCTCAATCAAGTTTATTAACTCTATGGGGAAAAGTGGGCTATTTCTTTACAAGATTGTATGGTGCTATTTAATAAAAAAGCCTTAAGCTAATGTTCTTTCTTGCATTTTCCAACTGAAGCATCCCTGATGCAGGGGGTTCGATCTCCTTTTTTTTGATAAATGAGTGGTTTGGCCTCCCTTTTAGTTTTTCTGAATTCTGAATGTTTAAATTTCATGTATGGTAGAGCAATCTTGGGAATAAGGGAGAAAGTTATGGCTTAAGATTTTTGCCTTTTCATTATTTTTTTTAAGCATTACTGTTGAATGTTTGCATTATTAGATGTCCAATATCAATACTTCTTATTATTTGGTCTGCAGAATCTGCCTAGGAGTGGATGCTTGCTAATTTCCTAGCTTCTTTATTGGGACCTGTTTAGGTCTTGCATCATTTTTTTCCTTTTTATGGAAACATATGCTTTTCCATGGATTCCTGTATTGTCCAAATAGTTACTGTCTCTTTGTTCTGGACAGCTCTCTCAACGTACTATTTCGGGATCTTTGCTCAAGTATCTTTCGAAGTTACAGGTATTTCCAAGTTATGATTCTCTGTTTTATCTCGCATTTTGGATTTTTCATATCTTTTAAAAGATGGCCATTACACAATGCTGGTCTCAGCTATCTGGTGTTTTGGGAGGTTCTTGATTACTTTTTTGGGATATGATTTCCAATTCACTATAATTAGGGGAGTTTTTTAATTTCTCTTTCTATGTTATTTTGTGGTTTTAATAATTTCTTTCTTATATAGGTAGATGAAGAACCAGCAATTAGAACAAATACCACCATCCTACTGGGGAACATTGCTGGATATCTTAATGACGGGGTGAGTATTACTGACCTATCACTCAGAATTTTTTGACAAAACTATTTTTTGAGATGCCATATTTTGGGATTTTAGCTTGTAGAATATTTTAGCCATGTATCTTTCTATAAGAGGTTACGTGTGAATTGTAATGCAGACAAGGAAAAGAGTGTTGATTAATGCATTCACTGTTCGTGCGTTGCGTGATACTTTCTCTCCAGCTCGTGGAGCAGGTAAATAAACTTTTATGTTGATATTTTCCCCATTTCATTACATAAAAGTACTTCGTAAGTGGTAGCCCAGATGGGGGTGGAAATTTCATACCCAAGCCACTGAACTAGGAATGGCAACAGGGTGGGGCGGGGATGGGGAGCCACTCCCATCCCTGTCCTTGTCTCCTCCAGCAAGGACAAGGTTATACCCATCCCTGTCCCCACGGGGATCTCCATCCCCATTGGGATCCCCACTCCCCCGTGATTTTTTGTAATGTCAACCATTTTGTTTTTGTTTTTTATTTTATTTAAAAATTTTGAAATAAAATAGTTAAAATTTACAATCTTATTAAAAAAGATTCAAATATATTCAAACATATTGAACCATAAATATTAATGGGCATCCCCACGGGGTGGGTATTGGGGTCCCCATGGGGAGGGGAGTGCTCTCCTCGTCCCTGTCAACGAGGATGAATATTTTCCCTTCCCACGTCCCCGTGGGGGGAAGATCATCCCCATCCCCGCCCCATTCAGGGCAGGTCAAGAGGGGATTGTGGAAATGGGGAAAATTGCCATCCCTACACTGAATCCACCCAAACCACGCATTTATAACCTGCCCATTTACTTAGTGGGTTGAAAATGGGTTGAACCACCCTTTGGGTCAACTCAAATGGGTTAGGTCAGGTCAGGTTGTGGGTATTCATCAGGTTAACTACTAATGATACATGTGTAAATTGCCTAGCCATTTTCTCATTAATTCCCATTGTCCATTTAAATTCAAATAACTCATAATTACTGTAATTAATTAATTCTAAATTCATAATTAATGCATTATTTTATGATTACTACCGGAAATAATTATTTACTGAAAGTATTAATACCTAGAATCAACTCAACTTGTAATCAATTGCTGTAATAAATTCCAAATGGAGTTTGGCACAAATACGCATCAACCTATATCTAACCTGAATTACCCTGAACTTGAACCCAGTCAAATGGTTTAGCAGTCCAATCTGGTTTTGACTGGTTCAAACAACCAATTTATAAGCATTGATATAATAAACTGGTCTGGTCTGATTGCTTTTTATACTTCTAACAATCCTGATTGGCTGTTCAACCATGGTCCAGTCTGTTTTTCAGACTGCTAACACATCTGGTTGGCCAGTTCAACCATGGGTTGAATTCCCATTGTAATTCCATTTAAATTTAAATGCATTAACTGTAACCATTAGCTTTCATTAATTTTTTTTTTATATCTCTTGAAGGGCTACACAATGGGGGTAGCCCATCCCCCAACCCAGGTGCAGGCGGGATTCTATCCTAAGTCTCTGCTACGACCAGCAGGAGACCTTACCAACCAGCTGATTGGCACCTTGCTCATTAGCTTTCATTAATTACTAATCCAAATATTAACTCCACCTAAACTTTCCATGTAAAAACTATGTGCAGTTGTGCACGCGATTTAATTTGGACCTAGAACACTTGTGTAAAAGACAAACGTTCTTACCATTAAGTAATGTCTAACCAAGTTGTTAAAAGCTAGCTTCTAAGCCATTTCCATAAAACTGAAGTTGTTAGAAGGTTAATGGATTGGGTCAAGGAAGGTTTTGGTTGAATCCAGTACCCAACCACTTATTTTTATTTAAATGGGTCATTAACGGGTTGGCGGGTTAGATGGGTTGGGTTGAAGCTCAATGCAAACCCAACTGCCCAAACCCACCCAATTACGGCCCCTAGGCCCAAAGTTTAAATTAATACACATAAATTTGTGTTTGTGCAGGAATTATGGCTTTATGTGCTACAAGTTCATATTATGACACAACGGAGATTGCAACTCGAATTTTGCCAAATGTTGTTGTTCTTACTATTGATCCTGATGGGTAAATATTCCCTTTTCCCAGATGATTTTTCCTAGCTCATTTTTTTTTTTAAATTCCTGTCTTGACATTCATGATGTAGTCTTCTTTTCCTTTGTCATTCTAAGTTGTGTTTTAGGCTCTTACATAATTTCCCTTTTTGATCTTGGAAATGGAAAAATATTGATGTTGCAAGGACTTGGAAGTATGATTTCTAGAATCAGATAATGGGTAACCATTTCTTTCAATGGTGAAACTATTTTATTAGGCACTTTCAAATTTTACAAGATATTTTCTTGTCATGTTTTGAGATTCAGACTGATCAAACACCATACTAGACCTTGTTAATATCAGTCAAACCAAGCTTGCCTTTTATATTGGTGTTGTCTATTGGTGTAGTAGTGCCACTAAACTAGTATTGGTGCTTTACATTCCATCATAATGATTGTTTGATGTGCCCGATTAGTTGTCCTGGAAAGAACTTCCGTGGATTGGGCCTTAGACTGGGATTGTGGCCCTACTAGATTGTGTGCATTGCAATTATTTTGTCATATGTATAGCATAATCTTGTTTTTGTTTCCTTCTGCACAGTGACAGACTTGTCCACAGGGTGAATCTCGCTTTTCATTATTCTTTTTAATATGACAGTGTATTTACATATGTAAAAGAAGGCATAGTTGAGATATCTAAATGGTCAAAACATTGATTGATCAACCAATTACTTAGCTGAGGAATATTCTGACAGCATGGGCTGCATAGAGATTAATCCACTTAGTTTATATTTTTTTGTTTATCTCTAACTTTTAAGGTAGTGTTGTATATGTCTTTATATTGTCATGCATGCCAACTGCTTTAAGCATCTGTGATCACACATGGTTGGGTGAAGGTATATACAATAGAAAGAAGGCCTCTCTCTCTCTCTCTCTCTATTATTGCTCCCTACTTTACTCCATCCAACTTTCATATTTGTGAAACAAGGACAATATACTAAATGTTTTTAATGAATAATGAAAACTTATTACTTCAAAAGATAATGGAGAACTTTGAACTCATACAACAGCCCGTGGAGAGGTGCGAGCTGCAGCCTCCCTCAACTGCTTACAAGGAAATGAAAGAGAAAAGGCAAACATTACAGCTGAGACCAAAACAAGACTTCCCTATTCGCCCCTTGCTTAGCTAAACCATCAGCCAAAGCATTTGTTGATCTCCCCACCCATTGTGTAATAACAGACATATTCCTTGTCAGGTACTTAAAATTTTTTGACTTCATTCCTGTAGCACCACATAGTATTCTCGGGGTTCTTCAACCACCCCACCACCACCTTGGAATCCCTTTCCATAATAGGCTGCCCTACACCCATTTACCCATTTGATTTGCAAATTGCACTCCTTGTAGAGCTGCTAGTAGTTCTGCTCTGATTGAATCCCCAAATCTCAAGGGATTTGCAAATTGCACTCCTTGTAGACCCCCCCCCCCATTCCGAAGTGCTCTGGATTGCCTTGACTACTCCCTCAAAGTTCAGCTTCATGGAATCCATCTTGTAACTGCCTTGGTATTCCTAGATGAGCACCTTACTACTGTTGACCAATTTCTCCATAAATCTAAATAGGAGAAATGATGGAATAATCCTAAGGTCTTTAACCAATGAATTGCCCTATTCAACACACAATCCTTTACATCTTGTTTACTCCTCTCATTCTCTTGGAAAATTTTGGCATTCCTTTTTTCCCAGATTGTCCATAGCAAGGCTGCTCTAGCACATTTCCACATATTTTTCCCTCGTTTTTTGGGCCAATTGAAGGTAGTAGGGTTAAAGATCATGCACACTTCTAATGACATGTTCTACTTGCACCCAAAGAACAAAAAAAAGCCAATCCCATAATTTTGTAGAAAAAGGGAAGACATCAGTAGGTGGTAATAGTCCTCCCCATGAGCTCCACAAAGAGTACACTAGTTGGGTGAAATACAAAGGAAAGGTCTTCTCTTTTGTAGGTTATCTAAAGTGTTTACTTTCCCATGATACACTTCCCAACAAAAAGCCATTACCTTAGGGGAATCGGCCTACACCAAATTTCCTTTGAAGGGAAGACCTGTTGAGAGGAAAACTGACAAAGGAAAAAAAGAAGCATAGGGGAAGTTCCCTTTGGACCTGTGAACCCAAATCCTGTTGTCTAGCTTTTAAAAGGATCTAAGCAAACTTGATTCAAGAGACATATCAAATTAGAGAGAGAAAGTTAATTTCCTATCCTTTAACCCCTTGTGAAAGCCAAAATCCCAATTCTGAGCCAAAGGGGTTCCCTCAAGTGTGATAAAGTTTGTAATGACCTCATTTGTATACAAAGAGATGGATAAAAGTGAAGGGAAAGGTCCTTTAAAGGGGTATTTCCAACCCAAATATCCTCCTATAACCAGAACAGTGTTTCCAAAACAAACGTCATTCCTTGATACACCAGCACCCCACCCATTCTCTAAACTGCCATGAATGCTTCCCACCACTTCATGTCATATCCTCTCTCTCTCTCTCTCCAAAGGTCACTGTTATAACCACTTCCCCAACAACATTAGGTTTTTCTGAATCACCTTTCCTAGACCCAAACCACCCTCCTCTTTGTTTCTACACAATTTCTCACTTTACCAGGTGGTCCCTTTTTCCTTGTCCCGGTTCCCAAAGGAAATCTCACATTAGTTTCTCTAGCTTCTTAGCTTCCCTAAGTGGTGTCCTAAAGACAAAAAGGAAATAAGTAGGTAAGTTCGCCACAGTAGCTCTTATCAAGGTGATCCTACCACCTAAGGAAATGTAGATCTTCTTCCATGATGCTAATCTCTTTTCAAACTTCTCAATCACAGGAGTCCAAAACCTACTGTCCTTCGAGTTTGCCCTTAATGGAAGCCCTAAATAGGACAATGACCAAAAAGAGATGGAACACTAAAGACAATTTACAACAGCCTCGTCCTCCCTATCCTCCAAATTGATACTTGCTATACAACTCTTTTCCGGATTTATTTTCAGATTGTAAATTCTTTCAAAGCCTCTAATCAACTCTTTAAATTTGCTACCTTCTCACTAGCCTCCCCCCCCCCATAGAAAATCATCAAGTCATCTGCAAATTGAAGATGGATGACTAGTTGACTTATACCTATCCTCCAACCCCTTATATAATTTTCCTTATCGGCCTTACTGATGATTCTACTAAAAACATCAGCTATTGAGGTAGAAAGGAAAGGTGAAAGGGGTCCCCTTGCCTAACACCCCTACAGGCTGGAAAGAAGTCCATCCCTGCTCCATTAACCAAGATTGAGTAATGATAGGTACTAATACAACCAAACATCCGGATACACCACCTCTCTCCAAACCCACACTTCCTCAACACCTCTAAAAGAAACTGCCAATCCCCCAAATCATAGACCTTTTCATGATCCAATTTACAAATAAAACCTCTTTTCCCAAACCTCATCTCTTCCACATATTCATTGGCAATCAAGATTTGGTCAATTATTTGTTGCCCTTGAATAAAAGCCCCTTGGGCTTGGCTGATAATGGAAGGGAGAAGTACCTTAAGATTGTGCCATTATATATTAAATTCAGTCATATCTGTTTTTGCGGTCGAATATTTAGCCCATGGCACTAACAATTAATTGTATCACCTTGGGAGGCCAAAATGATTAGTCATCACCCACTGCATCCTGCTAATGGTAAATACAAATGTCACCTTAAAGTAACCTTGTCTGAAAATTGTCCTCATTAGAACTAGTAAAAATCTTCATAATTTTTTTCTAGGATTTCTAGATTTGCATTATGCAAAATGGTTTCCTGTGCCATAATTGTGCCTCCAAATATGCTTTCTTCAAGTTATAATTACTTACTTTTATTGTTCTTTTGGGGTATTTCAGTGAAGTTAGATCAAAGGCCTTTCAAGCAATTGATCAATTTTTACAGATAGTGAAGCAAGATCATGAGAAGGTGTGTGATTAAATTCTTTTTGCTTTTGATTTTTGAGTTTTATTATTCAGCAATATCATAATAATCAGGCAGGATTTAAAAGGATTATTTCATCAGAAATGGTAATGGGGATTGCAAGTAGCACAAATAATGGATGGTAGTTTGGGCTTTGGGGTAACTTCATTTTTGTTTAGTTCACTATGGGACAGGAATACATAATTTTAATTTCTCTCAGGTTCTGTTAGCCTGTTATAGTTTTTCAATCCATCAGTCTTCTTTAACTTTTGTCTTACAGAAAAAGAAAATTGTTGTCTTGTTAGAAAACACTTGGTATTGCTATTTAATTGACTCTTCCAAGTTCCAATTTGTCAACCTAGTTGTCAGAAACCACTTAATTTCAGAAAATACTTTGTGTCTATTAGTCAATTGAGGGATTCTCTTCTCTGCTTTTGTTATATTTTTCTCCTTTCTCCTTGTCTTTCTCAGTTTTGTATCAGTAAGTAAATAATCCAGCTCAAACATGAAAAATAAACATTAAATGAGAAAACAAGGTTTCTTCTAGATCCTTGACGTTTTCCACATTTTTAGAATATGGTGAATTTACTAAGGAACTGGAAAAACCTAGGCAAGTTGTTAGAAGGAAAAAAAAAAAGAAGAAAATGCATTTAAGTAATGTTATGCATGGAAGTTATAGTTGCAGAGAGGATGCTGTTGATAAAGTTATCCATCTGCTCCTCAAGTAAACCTTTTGTTGGTGTTATTGATGTCTTTGCTTTTGCATGATAGTACCTTTGTTTCTCTAATTATTGTTTTCTTGGATCTATTGCAGATAAATACAGGGGATGCCAGTGGAACTTCAAGCATTGGAATCCCATCAATACCTGGAAATGCAAGTTTACTTGGGTAAGCCAACTCTAGCTACTGATTACATTGGTTTCCTATATGCAAAATCCAGCTTGACATAATGTTATTTATCATTTTGTGTATATAAAGTTTATCTAGAGTTTTGCTCCTTCCTTTTTTTCTGAAAAAAGATTACTTTCACTCAAAAAAAGGGAGGATGTATATGAGAAGATGTACGAGCAAGGGCTTAATAACAAAAAGACGATTAGCCCACTGAAGAAGCAGGTAAAGAATTTGCACTATACAAAATACCTCTTCCTGATCCAGATTTAGCTAAGGAGTATGCCTTTTGGTTTAATTCTCTTCAAATCCATCTAAAGCTGCAGTTGATTGAGGCTGTGTTATCAAAAATTTCATGGAGAAGGTGAGCAGTCCTCCATGGGCCTGGACCAAACTTCTCAACCTAGTCAATTGCATTCCTTGAATCACCTTCAATAAGAAGAGAGGCAATCTATAATGATTTTGCAATCTTTAGGCCAAGCAATAAAGCATTAACTTCAATTTCAGACATATTCTTAGAAGAGCATGGACCACTAGAAAGTAAAAATCCACTGAATACTCACTCCAAAATGACTTGCCCAGAGCATTTCTCCTTAACTTCCCACTGCCAAATAAGCATCTCTTTTTTCCCTCCTTTTCACAGTCCCCTCTTCAGTCACAGTAGAGATTCTTAGAATTTAATGCACGATTGCCCCTCTAAGACCCTTGCTTGATGATGGCACTGTTCTTCCAAGGTTGATTTCAACTTCTATTGTTAGTCAATAATATCGAAGTGGTTGGTTACTTGGTTTAGTTACTGCTAATTGTTGATCTAGAACAAATCAAAAACATCAATAACAAAACGGTAGCAGGTTTCCAACAATCAATTAAGATTTGCTGCCACAGAATAGGGAGCCTAAGTTGGGAGATGGAAAGGAGTCAAGTACCTGCAGTACCCCTATAAGGGTAACATTGTTGTCACTTTACTCTTTCTTGTCACTCTAATATAATAATAGAGTGGACACCACCATTCCAACCGAGTTTCTCTCCCAACATTCTCTTCTCTTTACTCCTCTCCTTCCTTTCCTACTTTTCTTAACCCTTTGCAGGGCTGATTATGCTATGGGTGTTCTTAGCCAACACATGCACTCTCCTAAGAAGACTCACCTCTTGGCTGCAGAAAGGGTACCTAGGTACTTGAAGAGGTATCCTATTTACTAAGCATGGTCATATGAGGGTTGAAGTGCACTGGTGCTGATTGGGTTGGATCATAGATGACCGGAGGGGGTTCACTACGGGATACTGTACATTTGTTAGAAGTAAGTTGGTGTACTGGAGTAAAAGCAATCTTTGGTAGCCAAATATAGCCCTGAATGCTGAAGCTAAGTACTATGCTATGGCCCAAGGTGTGGCTGAGGTGTTGTGGATTAAGAAATTTCTAGGAGAGTTAGGATTTACTGTGGATGGTCCCATGTCTCTTTACTTGACAATAAGGCAGCTATTCCTTGCCTTGCATTATCGAACTAAATAGATAGAGCTTGATTAGCACTTTATAAGAGAAAAGATTGAAAAGGGGAAGTATGCACTCCATATGTTAGTTCCAAAGATCAAAGGGTGTAAATGCTCTTTGTCATATTGAAAATTATGTAACAAGTTGGGTATGATTGACATCTATGACCTAACTTGAGGGGGAGTGTTGTAATATTTATATGTATAGACATGAGTGGGCAGTTGGCATTTTACTCTTTCATTTCACTCTAATATAATAATAGAGTGAATGCCGCCAGTCCCACTGGATTTCTCTTCCAACATTCTTGTCTCTTCTGCTCTCTCTCCTTTCCAACATTCTGGTTTCCATGTTTTCCAATTTTACAAACCTAGGTATTGCTAGATTAGGGCATCCTTAGTGTTAATAATTTATGCAGGAAGAGTTTAGTGTCTGGAGTGGGTGTTGTCCTGAGCATGCCACAAAACTAGAGAACCCTAGAGCTGGTTCATAGGCAAATGGGTTTGATTTTAAACATGAACATTTGAGGTACTAGGATTAACAAAACAAGGTTGTTGATATCTTTTAGATTCCAAAATACCCATTTACATGGGGAACTGGCTGGTTGAGGTATCCTAGTACCATTTGAATTCAAGAATGGATCTTCAAGCCAAAGTTCATCTTTTTATCTCATAAGAGTTGATGCATCCTACTGAGTTTGTTGTTTACACTTCTGTAAATGTTACTTCTTTCACTATTGGAGGGGGTAGCGGTAAGTGGTGGTAATCTATTAGGTCTCAAAGTATCTAGTTCTAAAGGGGATTCTTTGGTGTGGTATCCCATGCTGCTCTTTGTTTAACCTTAACTAAATAAAAAGAAAGACCATTGTTTCTGAAGTGGAATCTTTGGTTTGAGCATATCCAAAAGGTGATTCAGAATCATGGACCAACTTTCCACATGCTGGGAATTAGAAACAATATCATGAGATTACCTTGAAGTCTCCACAAAAAGTTGATTGCCCTTTTGAAGTTGAATGTGTGAGTGATCTTCAGCTGAGAGATCTCAGGCATTTGGGTTAGCAGTAGGGATAGCCAAAGGAAAAAATGGGCATGGAAACTATAGCATGAGATATATGAACATACACAAGTAATACAGCATAATCATTGATATGCTTATATTGGGTGTGGTAAATTGTTTTGATTGGGTTCAAGTTTCTAGATATTTGGTAGTTTAGAATAGAGGTGTAAATTGGGCCGTGCTGGGCTGGCACAACACGACCCACATGTGGCCCGTGCAAAGTGCGGGCCGTGTCATGCCGGTCCACGGGCCATGCTTCCCTCCCCTGGGATATTTTAGGGGGGCAGCCCGGCATGGTCCAAGCCTGTGCGGGCCTGTTCCATGCTGCGGGCCGGGCTGGTCAACGGGCTGAGCCTTGGGCCAGGCCGGGCTAAGCCATGTTTTTGAAAAAATAATGAAAATTTTAACATAAATTAGAAAATATAAACAAAAAATTAAACACAGATCTTAAAATTTTATTTTATATGAATTTTGATGTACACAATTGTTTATATATGCAATAATAAAATGAAATAATATAATAATTAAAAATAAAATTATATATATTAATATATTATATAATTATTATATATAATATATATGTGTTGGTTCGGCTGATCTAATGTATATGGTAGTCATTGCTGGGTCTTAAGTCATTAGTTATTGGGCCTAAACTTGTTTAATGTTTTATTTGTCTAGGTGTCCCATCACTAATCGGGGGCATTCTAGTCCATTCATGTAACACTATGTGATAAACATATATATAAGATAGTAGGGTCGGCTGAAAGGTTTTGATCCGCCATTCTCAAACTTTCTCCTCTCCTTCTTCTCTTCTTCTTCTTCGGCAACTATGTTCCAGCAAACATGGTATCAGAGCATTAATCCATCTCCTGGTTACAGCCATCGCCACCTTTTCTACTCTTATCTATTCTTTTTTTTCACTCTTCCCTATCTTGGTCGCTGTGAAGAAACCCTAGGGTTGACCGTAGAACACAGCAAGGTCTGTACCTAGGGTTTCCCTTGGTTTATGGCCCAAGGGGAGTTTGTCCCAGAAGTTTATGCCCTACTAGACTCCTTACAACAGGTAGTAGCCATTCGGCTGCTAAGAGAGATCTGTGTGGTACAGATCTAGGTGGAGGACGGATTTCGACAGTCCTAGTACTGGTTGTAGGGGTGACTACAGTCTACAACAGCAGAAGTCAGTACAGTGCAGCGGTGGGTTGCTCTTGGTTTCTGTTGTAAGGCTTGAGTGTTCATTGTAATTGATGTTAGTGGGACAGTTTCAGTTAATAGTCCTTTCTTTTTTTTCTTTTCCTATTGTTCTTATTCTAGGATATGCCGCCAGGGGCATACTTGTAATTTTGCCTTTTTATAAAGATTAATATAAATAGAAACTGGCAGCTGCCAGTATTGAGTTTTTTGCCTTTCCTTTCTATCATTCGTACCTCTCTCTCTCTCTCTCTCTCTCTCAATCATCCCAAGAAACTACATGGTATCAGAGTAGAATTTCTGGGCTGGAGAAGACCTACGATCCTAGCATCAGTCTTTCCGAAGGGGATTGGACGTGACTACTTTTGTTTCATAAGGAAAAGGAGAAAAAAACCTAGCGGCGGCTTGTGTTTTTTAATTCTCTCTGGCGACTGTGCTTGCATAAACCCTAGTCAGTCCTGCGGCTGTACTTCTGCTGAAACCCTAGTGGACTCATGCATCAGTTACTGTACCCTCAGTCACCTTTATTTTCCATCCCCATGAGAGTCTTTGGTTGTCGGGCCTTTGTCCACGATTTGTCTCCATCTAGAGGTAAGTTAGACCCTCGGTCCATTCCTTGTCTTCCTGGGGTACCCATCCTCTCAAAAGGGGTATCGGTGTTTTGATCCAGTCAGTCGTAAATATTTTGTGTCTATGGACGTGTCCTTCTTTGAGTCCGAGCCATTCTTCCCTCCTCCTCAGGGGGAGAGTCGTAGTGTGGAAGAGGAGAAGCAGGTTCAGGTGCCCCTTCCTTCTATTCCGGACCTCACTCCCTTCCGTGTCTTCCAGCGTACTCGTTGGAGAGATCAGCARTGTGATAGAAATGTGGAGCAGCCAACCACTAAGCAACTGACATCATCAGAATCCCAGGAGGTAAGTCCAACCCCTAACCCTCCTCCCACTGTGGACGACCTAGACATCCCTATTGCTCAACGAAAGGGAGTCATGTCGTGCACTACCAAACACCCCATTACCCACTTTGTTTCCTATGACCACATCTCTCCCTTGTACCGAGCCTTCCTATCGGCAGTTGACTGTGTCCCTGTTCCCAAGAATGTTGCAGAAGCCTTAAAATTCCCTGAGTGGATAGGTGCCATGAAAGAGGAGATTAATGCCCTCCACAAAAATCAGACTTGGGAATTGGTGGATCCTTAGAGGGGAAAGAACCCGTGGGGTGCAGATGGGTGTTCACAGTTAAGCACAAGGCAGATGGAACAGTTGAAAGGTACAA